ATGTGGAGGCACAGAGGTACATTTCGGACTCCTTACCTCTTCCGGTTCCCAAATTTGGTCCATTTGATGTTCCTCCCTTGGATTGAGACCGTTTCACTCATGTTTGTCCTCATAGTCATGTGTAGAACCTATTAATCCATGTTTGGTAAGTATGGGTCCATCTAGTTCATCTTATACACTACAAGTGAGTTTCCACAATGTGGAGGCACAGAGGTACATTTCGGACTCCTTACCTCTTCCGGTTCCCAAATTTGGTCCATTTGATGTTCCTCCCTTGGATTGAGACCGTTTCACTCATGTTTGTCCTCATAGTCATGTGTAGAACTATTAATCCATGTTTGGTAAGTATGGGTCCATCTAGTTCATCTTATACACTACAAGTGAGTTTCCACAATGTGGAGGCACAGAGGTACATTTCGGACTCCTTACCTCTTCCGGTTCCCAAATTTGGTCCATTTGATGTTCCTCCCGATGACCGTTTCACTCATGTTTGTCCTCATAGTCATGTGTAGAACCTATTAATCCATGTTTGGATAAGTATGGGTCCATCTAGTTCATCTTATACACTACAAGTGAGTTTCCACAATGTGGAGTCACAGAGGTACATTTCGGACTCCTTACCTCTTCCGGTTCCCAAATTTGGTCCATTTGATGTTCCTCCCTTGGATTGAGACCGTTTCACTCATGTTTGTCCTCATAGTCATGTGTAGAACCTATTAATCCATGTTTGGTAAGTATGGGTCCATCTAGTTCATCTTATACACTACAAGTGAGTTTCCACAATGTGGAGGCACAGAGGTACATTTCGGACTCCTTACCTCTTCCGGTTCCCAAATTTGGTCCATTTGATGTTCCTCCCTTGGATTGAGACCGTTTCACTCATGTTTGTCCTCATAGTCATGTGTAGAACCTATTAATCCATGTTTGGTAAGTATGGGTCCATCTAGTTCATCTTATACACTACAAGTGAGTTTCCACAATGTGGAGGCACAGAGGTACATTTCGGACTCCTTACCTCTTCCGGTTCCCAAATTTGGTCCATTTGATGTTCCTCCCTTGGATTGAGACCGTTTCACTCATGTTTGTCCTCATAGTCAGTCTATTGTGTAGGACTATTAATCCATGTTTGGTAAGTATGGGTCCATCTAGTTCATCTTATACACTACAAGTGAGTTTCCACAATGTGGAGGCACAGAGGTACATTTCGGACTCCTTACCTCTTCCGGTTCCCAAATTTGGTCCATTTGATGTTCCTCCCTTGGATTGAGACCGTTTCACTCATGTTTGTCCTCATAGTCATGTGTAGAAGCTATTAATCCATGTTTGGTAAGTATGGGTCCATCTAGTTCATCTTATACACTACAAGTGAGTTTCCACAATGTGGAGGCACAGAGGTACATTTCGGACTCCTTACCTCTTCCGGTTCCCAAATTTGGTCCATTTGATGTTCCTCCCTTGGATTGAGACCGTTTCACTCATGTTTGTCCTCATAGTCATGTGTAGAACCTATTAATCCATGTTTGGTAAGTATGGGTCCATCTAGTTCATCTTATACACTACAAGTGAGTTTCCACAATGTGGAGGCACAGAGGTACATTTCGGACTCCTTACCTCTTCCGGTTCCCAAATTTGGTCCATTTGATGTTCCTCCCTTGGATTGAGACCGTTTCACTCATGTTTGTCCTCATAGTCATGTGTAGAACCTATTAATCCATGTTTGGTAAGTATGGGTCCATCTAGTTCATCTTATACACTACAAGTGAGTTTCCACAATGTGGAGGCACAGAGGTACATTTCGGACTCCTTACCTCTTCCGGTTCCCAAATTTGGTCCATTTGATGTTCCTCCCTTGGATTGAGACCGTTTCACTCATGTTTGTCCTCATAGTCATGTGTAGAAGCTATTAATCCATGTTTGGTAAGTATGGGTCCATCTAGTTCATCTTATACACTACAAGTGAGTTTCCACAATGTGGAGGCACAGAGGTACATTTCGGACTCCTTACCTCTTCCGGTTCCCAAATTTGGTCCATTTGATGTTCCTCCCTTGGATTGAGACCGTTTCACTCATGTTTGTCCTCATAGTCATGTGTAGAACCTATTAATCCATGTTTGGTAAGTATGGGTCCATCTAGTTCATCTTATACACTACAAGTGAGTTTCCACAATGTGGAGGCACAGAGGTACATTTCGGACTCCTTACCTCTTCCGGTTCCCAAATTTGGTCCATTTGATGTTCCTCCCTTGGATTGAGACCGTTTCACTCATGTTTGTCCTCATAGTCATGTGTAGAACCTATTAATCCATGTTTGGTAAGTATGGGTCCATCTAGTTCATCTTATACACTACAAGTGAGTTTCCACAATGTGGAGGCACAGAGGTACATTTCGGACTCCTTACCTCTTCCGGTTCCCAAATTTGGTCCATTTGATGTTCCTCCCTTGGATTGAGACCGTTTCACTCATGTTTGTCCTCATAGTCATGTGTAGAACCTATTAATCCATGTTTGGTAAGTATGGGTCCATCTAGTTCATCTTATACACTACAAGTGAGTTTCCACAATGTGGAGGCACAGAGGTACATTTCGGACTCCTTACCTCTTCCGGTTCCCAAATTTGGTCCATTTGATGTTCCTCCCTTGGATTGAGACCGTTTCACTCATGTTTGTCCTCATAGTCATGTGTAGAACCTATTAATCCATGTTTGGTAAGTATGGGTCCATCTAGTTCATCTTATACACTACAAGTGAGTTTCCACAATGTGGAGGCACAGAGGTACATTTCGGACTCCTTACCTCTTCCGGTTCCCAAATTTGGTCCATTTGATGTTCCTCCCTTGGATTGAGACCGTTTCACTCATGTTTGTCCTCATAGTCATGTGTAGAACCTATTAATCCATGTTTGGTAAGTATGGGTCCATCTAGTTCATCTTATACACTACAAGTGAGTTTCCACAATGTGGAGGCACAGAGGTACATTTCGGACTCCTTACCTCTTCCGGTTCCCAAATTTGGTCCATTTGATGTTCCTCCCTTGGATTGAGACCGTTTCACTCATGTTTGTCCTCATAGTCATGTGTAGAACCTATTAATCCATGTTTGGTAAGTATGGGTCCATCTAGTTCATCTTATACACTACAAGTGAGTTTCCACAATGTGGAGGCACAGAGGTACATTTCGGACTCCTTACCTCTTCCGGTTCCCAAATTTGGTCCATTTGATGTTCCTCCCTTGGATTGAGACCGTTTCACTCATGTTTGTCCTCATAGTCATGTGTAGAACCTATTAATCCATGTTTGGTAAGTATGGGTCCATCTAGTTCATCTTATACACTACAAGTGAGTTTCCACAATGTGGAGGCACAGAGGTACATTTCGGACTCCTTACCTCTTCCGGTTCCCAAATTTGGTCCATTTGATGTTCCTCCCTTGGATTGAGACCGTTTCACTCATGTTTGTCCTCATAGTCATGTGTAGAACCTATTAATCCATGTTTGGTAAGTATGGGTCCATCTAGTTCATCTTATACACTACAAGTGAGTTTCCACAATGTGGAGGCACAGAGGTACATTTCGGACTCCTTACCTCTTCCGGTTCCCAAATTTGGTCCATTTGATGTTCCTCCCTTGGATTGAGACCGTTTCACTCATGTTTGTCCTCATAGTCATGTGTAGAACCTATTAATCCATGTTTGGTAAGTATGGGTCCATCTAGTTCATCTTATACACTACAAGTGAGTTTCCACAATGTGGAGGCACAGAGGTACATTTCGGACTCCTTACCTCTTCCGGTTCCCAAATTTGGTCCATTTGATGTTCCTCCCTTGGATTGAGACCGTTTCACTCATGTTTGTCCTCATAGTCATGTGTAGAACCTATTAATCCATGTTTGGTAAGTATGGGTCCATCTAGTTCATCTTATACACTACAAGTGAGTTTCCACAATGTGGAGGCACAGAGGTACATTTCGGACTCCTTACCTCTTCCGGTTCCCAAATTTGGTCCATTTGATGTTCCTCCCTTGGATTGAGACCGTTTCACTCATGTTTGTCCTCATAGTCATGTGTAGAACCTATTAATCCATGTTTGGTAAGTATGGGTCCATCTAGTTCATCTTATACACTACAAGTGAGTTTCCACAATGTGGAGGCACAGAGGTACATTTCGGACTCCTTACCTCTTCCGGTTCCCAAATTTGGTCCATTTGATGTTCCTCCCTTGGATTGAGACCGTTTCACTCATGTTTGTCCTCATAGTCATGTGTAGAACCTATTAATCCATGTTTGGTAAGTATGGGTCCATCTAGTTCATCTTATACACTACAAGTGAGTTTCCACAATGTGGAGGCACAGAGGTACATTTCGGACTCCTTACCTCTTCCGGTTCCCAAATTTGGTCCATTTGATGTTCCTCCCTTGGATTGAGACCGTTTCACTCATGTTTGTCCTCATAGTCATGTGTAGAACCTATTAATCCATGTTTGGTAAGTATGGGTCCATCTAGTTCATCTTATACACTACAAGTGAGTTTCCACAATGTGGAGTCACAGAGGTACATTTCGGACTCCTTACCTCTTCCGGTTCCCAAATTAGGTCCATTTGATGTTCCTCCCTTGGATTGAGACCGTTTCACTCATGTTTGTCCTCATAGTCATGTGTAGAACCTATTAATCCATGTTTGGATAAGTATGGGTCCATCTAGTTCATCTTATACACTACAAGTGAGTTTCCACAATGTGGAGTCACAGAGGTACATTTCGGACTCCTTACCTCTTCCGGTTCCCAAATTAGGTCCATTTGATGTTCCTCCCTTGGATTGAGACCGTTTCACTCATGTTTGTCCTCATAGTCATGTGTAGAACCTATTAATCCATGTTTGGTAAGTATGGGTCCATCTAGTTCATCTTATACACTACAAGTGAGTTTCCACAATGTGGAGTCACAGAGGTACATTTCGGACTCCTTACCTCTTCCGGTTCCCAAATTAGGTCCATTTGATGTTCCTCCCTTGGATTGAGACCGTTTCACTCATGTTTGTCCTCATAGTCATGTGTAGAACCTATTAATCCATGTTTGGTAAGTATGGGTCCATCTAGTTCATCTTATACACTACAAGTGAGTTTCCACAATGTGGAGTCACAGAGGTACATTTCGGACTCCTTACCTCTTCCGGTTCCCAAATTAGGTCCATTTGATGTTCCTCCCTTGGATTGAGACCGTTTCACTCATGTTTGTCCTCATAGTCATGTGTAGAACCTATTAATCCATGTTTGGTAAGTATGGGTCCATCTAGTTCATCTTATACACTACAAGTGAGTTTCCACAATGTGGAGTCACAGAGGTACATTTCGGACTCCTTACCTCTTCCGGTTCCCAAATTAGGTCCATTTGATGTTCCTCCCTTGGATTGAGACCGTTTCACTCATGTTTGTCCTCATAGTCATGTGTAGAACCTATTAATCCCATGTTTGGTAAGTATGGGTCCATCTAGTTCATCTTATACACTACAAGTGAGTTT